ATTGTAGTGGTTTTTTCGTATAATTTGTAAATCATTATTGTAAATATTATTTTATAAGTGCGAATGTTGTGTAGGTGGTAGAAGACGCAAAATATTGAAAATTTATAGCAAGTAGCATTTTTAATTTTCAACTGTTTTTCTAATCGCACCTCCTATTTTGTAGCCAAACAAATGACGACATTTTATGACATCACAATAAAAAAAATGGCTATCATTTTATGGGCTTATTTTTCTCTCGAAATACTTATTTTTTTATCTATTAAATCAGTTAATTATGAGATATTTTAAATATGCCAAGTGTACCTTTTCACCTTTGCATGTTCATGTCTGTCTCTAGGGTACGTCATTGCTCTATACATATTACTGAAATAGGAACATAATGTTTAGCCTTTTTTATTTCCTCGAGTAAAAATAGCGTTTAAATATAATATCTGATGTCAGAGAACTAGTCGACCAAATATACAAGAAAGACAGGAAAAGGAATCGAAGAGGGCGTCTTTTAAAATTGTTGTCGATTGTTTTTCGAACGTATCAAATCTAGTAGTGTGTGGGTGCGTAATGAATAAATACGATTACTTAAATTAAATTAATAAAAATTGAAATGATTAATTAAATCATTAAATTATTAAAAATTAAATTAATAACTTAAATGATTAAAATTAAATTAAAAATTAAAAATTAAAATTATTATTAATTATTAATTTATGAAATAGGTACTTTTAATAATTTATTAATTATTATTATTAAATACGAGTAATTTTTCCAAAATTTGAAACAAAATGTAACAATTTAGTTTTAAATTATTTTTTTCTTATTAGACATCGGCATTAAAGAAAAGATAAATTGTAATACTGTTTTGAAACCTCAGTGGTGATGATAAGAAAGAAAATATTTGCTTTGGTTTGAAAACAAATAAAAACTCTTTCAAATTTCGAGAAATTACCACAATTAATCAAAAGATATAAATAATTTTAGTCGATATATTTTCTCAATAAAAATAAATTTTTTGAATAAATGCTTTAATGAAATATTTTATTAATATAAATCTGTTAATTCTTTCTATAAGAGCATTTGGTACATTTTCAATAAAAAAATTATACACCTAATAATTTAACAAAATACGTAGATCCTATTTGTTTTAATAAATTAATTACTACTAGATTCCTGGTTATTATATTTGTTACGTTTAAAATAGAATGTAGTTCCAAGAAAATTAGTTGTAATAGAAATAAACCACATATGTTTTTATATTAAGTAATTATATGCTTTATTAGATAATAAAATACTGAAATTACATCCCATAATTTCGTAATAAAAATATCAAATTCCAAGAATTATAAAATAAATGAAATACAATTTAAGGAATTGTTTTTTAATTCCCAATAATAGTACAGGATGTTAAGGGAAACGTAGCGTAATGTATTGATTACAAATAATCCTTTTCGAAACGGTAATTTGAAGGACTAATAAATTAAAATTACATGAATCACACCAAATCCCGCATTGCTGCACTGCACTGCTAGGCAATTTGTCAACCACTTGTCAACAACTGAGATTTATTGCCCAGTCGCCCAGTGCGGCTGTGTTTGTGCGCCGTTTGCCCGTGCGCGCATTCTTCAACCGGGCGTATACATTTCTACCACCTCCACGTTTAGTTCAACCAAACCTGTATATAGGTATGGCTAAATAAATAAGGGAACAAGTTTTTCAAATATTTCAATGCCGAGTTGCTGCGTCAGCGACCGAACCTGGTACATACTTCCGACCTCTTGGTTCTTCGATTGAGATCGGAAAGACTACACAAGCGAAACTTTCATATTATCTTGACAGAACGTCCTGTATATTTTTACATATTGTGATATAAACGATAGGTCCGTCTCTTATAATAAGAGAGATATAAAGGATTCAACTAAATTTAACATTAGCGTTCAACAAACCAATGAGTTTAATTATAATAGTTTAGTCCGATTAAAATATCTGAAGAAAGAGCTGATATGCCTTTTTCCCTTATAATAGTAGTATTATACTGAATTTCGTTGTAGTCCTAGTACAATAATGCCTTATGGTACTAAAAATACATCATAATGCGTCTATTATGACGTGCCAGCAGATAAAACATAAAATGTAATTAGAATATATTACGCGACGTAGTTGTGGCAAATAAATTGCGAATTAATGGGTGACTTCATATTTTCTTGAACTAATTACTCCTCATTATCCGCCTTATAATTGGATAATTCATTAAACTACCTCGGGCCTGACAATTATCCTGTCATCACTATAAAAATCCGATGACCCGGGCATGACAGTTCAAGCCGTCCGGCGATAAACTCGAGTATAATAACTTTTCTCATATTTTATTGGCGCCGGTTCAGAGTTCTGCAGTAAAGTGTGGAAAAACGATAAAATTTTCGTCATTCGTTGCGCCACTAGGTAATTCCCAATGCGCCTTTTCCGTCACTTAAAAAAAAATATATATCAAATCTAGTCAATCTAGTCAAATCTAAACAAATTTAAAGTCAAATTTACACTGTTTGTGTCGCTATGTTTTAGTTGCTTACTACATAAGTAAATCGTATTATGTACAGGGTGTCCCAAAGTTCGCGTCTCGGGCCCATAACAGACAAAGGAAAAACGACAAGAAAAATCTGTTTAGATGGAGTGAATAGGCACTCGCTAAGGTCCGTTGTACTTGAAAAACATTTTTTTCAAAATTCGGAAAATGAAAAAAATGACGTAGTTAACTTTTTTTCCACGAGCATACCCATTTTTTATAATAACTAAACTTATCTATTTTTTATGAACATTTTTTGTGCAGAAATTTTTTCTCTATCTCGCCTCATTAAAAAAGTACAATAACAAACATTATACAAAAATGTATCCTATTGTATTGGAATTAGTTATGATTTAATCAACACTGCTATGAAAAAGAATCGCTGTAACTCCTGTCACAAATTTGTTTGCATATTAAAAAAGGTCACTCCACGAAGAAAAATAGAACAATACACATAACGATCGTTAAACAGGATAACCAAATAGAAAATATCAAGCAATTTTAATTGTAACTAATAAATATAACAATAACCAATAACAAAACACAAAACAAAATATAAAATTATGATTATTGCTTTAAAAATTTTCGATATGCATTTATCCAGTCTTTTTCTAACTTCCCTTCTAGCTGTAAACAACGTTTCTCTTGAAAGATTCTCATAAACATGTCGAATCTTTTGCCTTAAATGCTCCAAACTTGTGGGTGTCTTATATACTTGATTTTTTAATGTACCCATAAAAAATAGTCTAGGGGCGTTAAGTCTGGAGACTTTGGAGCTCATTCTACGGGTTCATTAATTCCAATCCACTTAGTTCCGAAAGTATTTTCTAAATAGTCTGTAATTCTTTTAGCTTTATGTGGAGGAGCACCATCATGTTGCAATCACATGTGTTCTAAGAGTATAATTATCTATTTTTGCTAAATTATTTTATTACATATTCTAGAATAATATGATTAACTGTAATTTCACTTGAAAAATCCCTCATAGTTTCATACAGTTGTGGAAATGTTTATTTATTATTAACAAATAAAACTTTTGAAATAATTTTTTATTAGGTAGAGAACCAATTTGTTGTAAAAATAATAAGAATTATAATCATTATTATGTTAAAAACGACGAAAATCTAAAAAATATTTAAGTTTGACCGGTTATATTGACTCAGTCAATATTAGTCCAAACTCTTTTGAAAACGCATCATTTTAAAGGGAATCTCATCTAGTTTTTTTTGTTTTCTTGACCTACTTCTACTAAAAATGTCAAAAAATTAAAAAAAAAGTAAAAAATCTTATTTTTTGCTTTTTTTAAAATTGTTTATTAACGATTTTTTGCATACAATTTTCATTTCGATGAGAAATTCATTTCTCTACAAAATTTTTCCTATAAACTATACCGAAATTTTGCTTCGTTTTCGTGCTCTAATTAAAGGATGTTTTTAAGGTGTTATTGTGAAGATGAGGTGCAAAAAACTGCAATTGGTTTAATAAGGCCCAAAGAAAAAGTTTTTAAAAAGTCAAATGTTTTTAAAAGAATTGTCTCTTGTACTATTTGTTTAACTTTTGTGATAACTCAAATTAATAAGCTTTGCAGAAAACATAATTTTGTCTTTTTAAACAAAATAATATACTATTTATTGCATATTAAGTTAAGTATGCCTCAAGTACCTTACAAGTACCTTACTTAGTTTGTAACTCTGCCAGTGGTAGAATTATGGGTAGCCAGTGATATTAATTCAGCAAAAAAGGTGTAAGCTCCTGGATAAAATAAATAAAATGTCATACAATCATCAACATTTCATGTTTTACGTTAGAAAATTTCTTTTCTGGGTGAAAATACTATTGGTCTACCTTTTTCAATTCTTTTAGATTAGATTATGCAATTGATAGAAATTTATACTATCGTTTTTGTGTGAATAGAACCACCATTCCTTAATTTTCTTGTCATAATTTCCGGATAACGAAAAATAAATTTAGTAGGCTAGCGAGATATCCCTATTATTCTAAACTTCCTGTTAAAAAGTGTAATAAACACAATTTTAGCATTAAACACCAAACGAATATTTAAATAAATCCGATAATAGTTCCATTAGTTCCATCTTTTGTCAATAAAACTGTTTCGCGTTCACTGGAAAGCGCAGTATAAAAAATCAGGCCCTTCACGTGTTTGCATAACCCTACCCCAAGCTACCAATGTTTATAAGAGATAAGATACAGTAGATAGCGACGCTCCACAATACGGATCTGCCGTCGACAGTCCACACACGAAAAAGAACCCACATACCAAGTGTTCGCCGTTTCCCGACACCGCCTGCCGGTTTCTCAATTTTATATCGATGGAAACAACGAGGCACATCGGGTATGCCATGGGTGACGTAAGAGAGCAGTTCTAAACACAACGTGGGGGGACAGAAAATGTTGAGCAGTTCCTCTGTTTGCAGTTGGCTGTGGGCCGGTCTGTATGCTCGTGCTGAGGCTGATTGAACGCGATTTTCTCCATACGGGTTCGCGACACAAACTGAGAATAAAATGGCACGTGGCCGGTGGCAGGCAAGAACCGCGGTTAGAGTGACATAAAATCGATCGCAGACGGCAGTGCGAGGATGGGGCAGCACTCGCTCTTAAAAAGTTACGTTGCAGTGCACTAGATTAGTAACAAAACAAAACAAAAAAAGCTTCTAACATGCCACGGTCGCCAGCTAGCCGGGGACGACGCTAAGGTATTTTTTTTGTCGGTTGATAAATAAACAAAATAACTTGGGGGATGGATGCTGTGTCCGGCAATAAGATCCTGAAACAGCGGCGTAACTACCTCACCCGTAGCGCTTCCAAAACGAAATGTTACAACAACAGAACCCACAAAAATAACCGATTGGGCAGGCTCGTCTCCATGAGGAGCTCGTACAGGCAAGGCCTGAACGGCGTTAACAAAAATAACAACCACAAGAACGGCCCGGCCGACATCGGCCTCCTCATCAACAACAACATCAACAGCCGAGGGGACGCGACCCGTCTGACCGATGTCTGCTTAGGAGAATTTACCAGGTAGGTGGTCGAGGGGGGTTTGTATTTTATAAATTCGTTTCGCGGGCGACTGATCCGCGTAAATCTACGAGATGGGGGGCTGTGGTTTCGATAAAGCGGCGCTGGCTCGCACACGATTAGATTAGATAACGGTTTTGATATGCGGAGTCCAGTGGCGATTCGTCGAAGTGGGTTGAAATATCTGAGAAAGTAAATATATTTCTCATAAATACATGCATAACATCTACTAGAAATTAAAGTCGTCATAATAATGAGACATGGAACTCACACTTTTTTAGACGATTATTTTTAGGCACACATGACGTCTTTCATGACGAAAAAATAAGGGTAGTTTCCCTTCAAACCTCGAAAGGTGTTGTATGTGTGTATTCGAACTGCTTTATTCATGATCAACCAATAGATATCAGTAGGCTTCTTCTTTTTTCAAGAAAAAATCGTTTTTCTTAAAGTTACACCGTTATAGAATTTAAAAATGTTGTTAGTACCTAATAAAGTCGACATAGGTATAACTACGAAAAATAACTTAATGATAAAAAATACCTTACTATATAGGGTGATTCACAAATGACGACCAAAAATAAACCCTCCTATTCTTTGGTGAATTTTAAGGGGAGTCTTTCCTATAAAGTTTTTATCTAGGACGCTTCGTTAAAAAGATACAGGGTGTTAAACTTCAAAAAATATTTTCAATTTTCTTAAATAATTTAAAAACTAGTAAGTGAAATAATTTAAAATTGGGCACATGTATTTATGTAAACATTGTCCAAAATCTGAGGGCTTTTCCTAAAGTTTACCTGTTCCAGTGGCGGAGATACAGGGTGTCGGTGGCATATTTTTCTAAATAAAATAGTACATCACTGCTTTACGGTAACAACCATGATATTTTCGGATTTGTCTTTCAATTTTGTACAAATTACTACTCTCTTATGTTTTTCGAAAAAAGCCTGATTTTCGAGTAAAACTTAAAAAACGAACTGAGAACACACTTCGATATTCGAATATAATGCCTTTTAAAATTACATAGTGGGCTGCGATAGCAACATCGACATTCTGATCAGTTAGAAGAAAGAATAAATAATGCTTTTCATCAGATTCAAGCAACAATAAATTTCGAACAAATTACATTTTCGTTACTAAAAAGATGTCGGGCCTGTGTTCGTGGAAATGGAGGTATTTTTGAGCATTTACTCAAATAAAATCATTAAAATGACGACTAATGTTATTAATTTATTTATTCGAATAAATAACCGACTGATAAGTGCTTGTCATGTCATTTAAGCAAAAGTGTTTTCAGTTGGTCTTTAAGTTTTACTCGAAAATCAGGCTTTTTTCGAAAAACATAAGAGAGTAGCAATTTGTAGAATACTAAAAGACGAATTCGAAAATATCATGGTTGTTACCGTAAAGCAGTGGCGCATGTACATTTTAGGAAAAGCCCTCAGATTTTGAACAACATTTACATAAATACATGTGCCCAATTTCCAATTATTTCACTTACTAGTTTTTAAATTATTTAAAAAAAAATTAAAAATATGTTTTGAAGTCTCCTAAAAGAAACGTCTTCTCCAAACGTTTACATCCACTGAAACATATATCAGAAATATTTGGGCAATACATGGGCTATTAGAAATATGTGAGCAAGATTCTCTCTCTCTCTCTCTCTCGTTTGACCTTGTGTATCGCTGCAATCACTGATTGGTTAAATAGAATCTTGTGAAAACTTACACTAATGTAATCTTGATCTTATTGTTTTCATAATTTTAATTACCAACGCGAACAAACCTATCTTAAGTATGGTCTAAGTACTAAGTTGTTTTTCTGGTGGCTTTAGAGGAAGAAAATTATATCTAAATAGCTATGAGATAATTTTTTTTTTGAACCCCTCGTAACGCAAGTAAACTGGGAAAGACGCGTAAGCGAAATAATCTTGGCTTCACTTCATTGATCGCTTTGTTCATATACAGGGTGTTGCAAAATGTTGTTCAGAGAATTATAGAGCGGATTATACATCCAAAAATACGAAAAAAATTCTTATAAACGTAGGTCCGCAAATGCTCTTCGTTTTCTAAATAGAGGGTGTCAAAAATAAAATAATAAAAAAAATATGTTTTTTATTGATAATTTCGAAATTTTTAATTGGAAATCGTTTAAATTTGGGTTAATACATTTATGATACGATTTATAGGATTTTTTCGTTTTTTGGATGTAGAATTTGTTCTAGAATTCCCTGAACAACAATTTGCAGCACCCTGTATTTGTCGCTTTTTGGAATCAGCTCCTTTTTTTGATTACAGTGTTATTGAATTGAATGACATTAAGACAGCGAAGTTTTAAAGATTTTATGAAATGTCCACCACCATTTTCGATATACGCATGACACATTCGAATCCAATTTTCGCGCACTCGCTGGAAAACACCTCAAGAAAAGGAAATAGTGGTACGCAAAAAACACTCGGACACGGTCCAATTCCAGATACCAACTGAAACTGAATTGCGTATTGCTGGACAGCTTAGTACCTCCTGTTATCTGCCGCGCCGTTGTCACATTGCTCGATATGAATTTTATCGAATTTTAAATTTATTACAACGCTAATTATTTTTTAGAATTAAACAAGAAGTTAAAAAAAATGATAAACATTGTATTTTATGGTATTCTATCATCTGTTAAACTTAAGGCAGTCAAACTTTTAACATCCTATTATAAGAAAGTGTCAGTTGTCTCTATATTATTCAAGTTTGGTGAGATTACCGTAGTACTGGTCATAATTTTGACCTTGGAATGTAGAAATTATTGCCAACTATGTAAATAGCTGAATGGTGCTATATCAGATTCTTGTACAAATTTTTAATAATGTTCCCTAGATCAATATTCATATATTTTCATTTTAATTAGATACCCGGACTTCTGAAATGCTGTTTTTTAATAGGATTCATATTATTACCATGAACAAACTTAAACGAGAAAATTTGTCATCATTATTTACTTGTTCGGTGGCAATAATATATGGACTGATGTCCAAAGATGATTTAAATCACAGCATGTAAACATTTTATTTAAAAAATTCTGATAATTGCCTTAAAACATGTCTTATCTGCGTAAGGTATTTTATAAAAATTATTGCGATATTCGGCTTGGATTATGTCGTCAATTAATTTATTTTAATTAGATATGAAAGGTCGTTTCGAGTAATACTAGATGTATTTAAATTGATGTTATCTTTAATACGTTTAGAAGATAACTGAAAATCTCAAAAAGACAAAGTCGGTTGTGTTTACCGTTCACTGCTATCTAGATTTGGGCCTGGATAAAAATATAACATTGCATTCTGTCACAGTGCAAATATTATTCAGCTTTGTGTATATTGTTCCAAGATAATTTCTATTCAAATAAATACTGAGTAATTTATGGCCGAGATAATCCTGTTAAAATATAGAGGGTACTTGGTGCAAAGTCAGTTAAATTAGAAAAAAATTGAGCAATTTGTTGCTGGTGAAATATTCCTTGACATACTTGGATCTTCCAAAATTGCTATGGACGGTTTTGGAAAATAATCCTTGGGAAGTTTTAAATTATACAAACTATTTCTTTAATTGTATGTTGCCAATATAAACAGCTGGTACGATTTAAATGTCGACAACTCTGTAGATATTTGCATATTTACACACAATAACATTAGAAAATGCAACATCATGTTTACCGTTTGTCAATTCGCTGAAGGAAAGTGACAAATTACCTTCAGACAGTGAGTTATGTCTTGATTTTTACTTAAACTTGTTTATATTGAATTAGTGCTAAAATGGATCCTCAGTCAACTATAGTCTTATGAGTGTCTAGTCAAAATAGATGAGTCAGCACAAAATCGTTGTTCCAAACGGTGTAGAACCAAATCCATTTATTCCTCGTCTCATAGTATCCAGATTTATTTTTTGTACTGTCTCTTTATCCACAAAAGGGTCATACTGAGAAGGACACAAAAGGAATAAACAAACATTCCTAGGGAAAATTTGGCCTACCCAAAATTTGATATTTCTCTTTTGTCATATCATAAATCTCAAAATTCTCTTGAAATTTAATCAAATTTAGTTAATACAAGTTTCAGGAGTTTGAACAATGTATGCAAACAGCGTATTTGTGAAATATACTTCTAAAATTCAAAAATATTCTTACTAATTTTTAGGAAAAATTTCGAGTTCTTTATTGAAATTCTGTGTGATTTGTCGTTAATTTGGCAGTGCCAAGAATGGCCAATAGTAGTGGCCAGTCACGTAAGGTTAAATCTACAACGCACTGGATTTATCGCATCGAAACGTCAGCGCAATATCTTAGTATCTCCATTGTTGTAAGCTAAAATTCTACTCTACTAACAACACTATATTTGTTTATTTATCACTCAGTATAGCGGTACAGTAACAATAATAGTAATAAGTAACATGCGAATATCTGCAATACTGACTATTATGCCTCTAAGTTCGTAACTTGTCTCTAGTTTTATAACTGCAAGTTACCAAAGTCGACGTTCGATCGCCTGTAATGGAAACGCGTCGGAAACTGGTTGATCTTCGGTACGTGTCGGTTCTCGCAATCTGGCGCAGCCCACAAACGCCGTGGTCAGCCTCGGTCGGCTGGAAATAGGGGTGACTTTTGGAGTTTCTTCTCAGCGGACGACTTTGTCTTCCGGCTTCGCTTCAAGTGTACTCTGGTTCTGTAACCGTACGAGGATTCACACGTTCGAAGATAAAACGTTGTAAACCACACAGTTTAATCGTTTTTGCAACAAAAAAATTTGTTTTGACAAAAAAAAATGGCTGTAAGGAATGAAACAACCCTATTCCACCTCTCGTAATTTCGATAAGAGATGTATTTTTAACCGCTATTCAACAGCTTGCATTGAAGCGTGAGAATACTCGCACACATACCTTTTTTACCCGTTTTTTTTTCATGTTTTTTTTTTTTTTTTGGTTGCTTGCATAATAATCGAAAATAATAGCCCATTCCGTCC